CAACTCCCAGTCGTCGAGGTCTCCACATGCCAAAGGCTTGGAAGAACAAGCCGAAGTCCAAGCGTCAGAAGACCGCCTCGCATTCGCCAGCATCCGCTCGTTCTCGCTCCAGCCTGGCTTCTGGCCACTCGACGTCTCGGCCGCCTGCGCGTTCCCCTTCGGCGGCTCACACCAAATCGCCGAGTCACCCGAGATCTCGTTCGCACTCTATGTCCAGCCGTCCGGCCAAGTCTAAGTCTCCCGCATCTCCACCGTCCGCTCCAGCTACCCCTCCCAAGGCTGAGCCGTCGAAGGACGACCAACCTCCTGAGGTCGTGGACTTAACGAAAGATGAGAGTGACGAGGACATGGAGGGGGAACCAACTACAGTTCCGACGGGGTCCGAGGACACGGAGGTGACTCGCCCAGCTTCACCGACACTTCCGGCAACTTCCCAGCGCAGTAACGTGGCTTCTCCACCGTCGCTCGCTCCTTCGCCGCCGGCTGATGCTTCCCCACAAGCTCCTACTTCTTACGAGCTCGAGATGCAGTTACTATTTGGATCTGACGACGATGGGGATGCTCCAAGCGGTTCGAAGGCGTCTCATGAACCTGCGGGGCTGATGTCACCTTATCGTTCGTCCTCTGATGAAGATACTCCGTCGCCTCCCAAGCGTTCGGACAGCACACCAATCTCCAAGCAACCTTCGGTTCCACCTTCTCAATCTCCTGATTCTTCCGATAGCGACGAAGGCGGCTCCAGCAATGGTTCTCACGACGGTGATGGAGCTGGTGGAGATGATTCTCATGACGACGAGCCTTCGTTCGATTTTCCTTCTGGTGATACTGCTGGTGATGAAGATATTCTGCCATCGACCGACGTTTCTCGAGCATCCGCTGTTGTCGAGGGTTCTGTTACTGGTGTTCCGACGACTACTTCCCTGGGAGCTCCCCGAAGCTCCGAATCGTCTCCTCTGGTTGCTGATTCCGCATCTCGTGAAACCTCGTCCGGGGCGCCTCAAGCTTCGTCTCCAATGTCAAGAGTTCTCACGAGTCCAACGACTACTCGTCATCATCCTCCGCCTCCGGGGTTTGCACTGAGCCAGA